CAAGGCGCTTCGTATATTTCGTACACCGTGCACATAACGGTGCTTCCTCGCGGACGGTGCGGCAGGTGCGCGAAGAAAGCGGTATTCAAACAATGGGAGAATTCACGAACAAAAAGTGTCGCCGAGATGCACCCACGGAATTGAGGAAGCGAGCGCTAAATGCCTTTCCCGAGAGGAAGAGGTTGGACTAAGCGACTTTTTTCCCAAACTATTTCGATCATTCGACTACCACCAATTTTTCACGCGAACACTGCCCCCACAAACGATGGATTAGAAGTTAAAAATTACAGGCTAAAGAGATCTGATAATCACACTAATCAAATTTAATATTAACAAGACCTGTGAGAATCGAGCGATGGATGAAAGTACGCAATAACACTTATTTAAACTTTCTCCATCTTACTAGAAGATCATTTTCAATATAATAATTATTTAATTATTTGATTGTATAGAAAGAGAGAGGGAATTGTATGTGTGTGTGTAGACTGAAAATTATCTCCTAATAAGATAAAAAAAATTTAGATAAATACACCGCGTGTTTCCATTCATTGCTCGGCCCTCGCAGGCCTTCTTAATATTAGATTTGGTTAAAAACTTTATCCTACTTTATCCGACTATACACTGCGTCTCGCCCGTCGCCCCAGTCTGCGATTTATAATGCATTGTCGAGTTATGTATCATTTTACATCTAAAGTCAGCATAGAAGTTCCAAGGTGACGATCGCACGAGTCTCATACGAGTGCGCCCTTATCGATGAAACACCATTTTCCACACGTTCGATATTTCAATGACTTGTCAATACTTCAAGGTGCTCCTCTTTATCGTTGTTCACTATCGACACGTGCGGAGAGAGAGAGAGAGAGAAAGAGAGAGATACAAAGCGCTTTTTTCCTTAAAACAATTGACAATTTCGCTTGTCTCGGACGTACCTTGCGTCGGCATTATCACCGTTTCGCGGGATTTAAAAGCGACGACTCGATAACTTTCACCTCGCCGAGTCCGGAGAAGGAGGACTTTTTATTAGACGAGTTCGTCGACACCTTCGTGCGAGAAACGAGAGCACTTTTCGCGACGCGGGAACCGGAAAGCGGAGCCGCCACGTACGCGACAGATACGCACGATGACCCCACGGATTATATCTAACGGCGTTTGTAGCCGTTGACTCCCGGAGAGCGGCAAATACCGAACAGATGTCAACTAAATTCACTCCGGGAGGCGGCGATGCTCCTCGGCACCGCGATAAATTCGCAGACGCCGCGAGGACCATTAGGGATAGTTGAAACCGGGCAACCCAGTAATGAACGCCGCGAATAAGTACCGCTATTATTAACTCCCGAGTGTCGAAGATCGATCGAGACTATATACCGCGAGAAACTGACGCTCGGCGCTCGACTAATTTACGAGGGAAATTCATCCGCATCACCGAGTCACCTGGAATATTTTGTTAGTGCAGAAAGTCGAGGTATTATCAGGGATTAATAGGGACCATAGACGCTTGATATTGCTCCCAACAGAGCAGAGTCCCTGTCTCTAACTACCGTTATTGAGGAGCGATAACCCAGTCGCGAACCTTTGCAATAATGACGGTGCTAATTGTGGTAATAATATGTAGATAAAGTAACGACGCGTTATCGTCACCGACGCGATTATTTCGTGACACGGTGAATGATACATGAGGACAATCGTTTATTTCGTTACATAAGAGATAAATGTTGCCCGCTATGCTGAAGTGCCACTGAAGTGATACTGGAAATTAATTTCGCGCGCGCGTGTGTTTCTGTGTGCTCCGAAATCTGTGACCAGTTGCGTAACCGAGACCTTGACGATTTTTTTCGACGGCGCAATTTCCACGCTACAAGAAAGAAGGGGAGAGAGAGAGAGAGAGAGAGAGAGAGAGAGAGAGAGAAAGAGAGAGAGAGAGAAAGAGAGAGAGAGAGAGAGAGAGAGAGAGAGAAACGAAAAATTATGAATTTCGACGTTGTGAGACGAAGCGAAGGAAAAATCGGTCGCCGAGGCCGAGATTTTCCGAGATTTTACGGTCGACTGGCATAATCGCGGCCTTTGGCCACGGAGTATAATTGGCAAATATTACTGGCCAAGTGATGCGACATGTGTGTATGTGTGTGCACAGTGCGCACGTACGTACGCGAGTTTGTGCGCTTGTGCAAGTGCAAAATGACGTTGATACGTAAGTTGGCAGTGTCCTCGAAAAACTGAAATAGTTATGACTTGATTTTAAAGAAAGACTTAGAAAGAGACCTGACAGATGAACTTACGTAATTATGCCACACGGTGACAACTGTAAATTCTACGTCTACGATCGCGCTCTTTTCACTGCGGACGTTTGAAAAACGTGACTGAGACTAACATTTTGAGGCGACGGTGCGTAACACACAAATTTTAAGTAAGCTCCTAAAACGATTATCACTTTAACACCGACGAAATATCAGTCTGATTTCGAATCGACATTGATTTGTATAGAATGTTCAAGATCTAATCGAAAGATTATTGATGTCACTCAGAGAGGCAAACAATTCATTATTTTTTTACAAACAAATAAATAGTCGCTGATATCGATAGAAAATGAATCATTTTAACACATTATCGACTGCTCAGAAAGATCTGTTCTCTTAATAATAGATTGTTAATTGATCGATTATCCTGATTTTTCGATAGTGTTAGAGGAATACGATCAGTTTTGTTTTTCGATTTCACGATATGTTAACATACATGTTAGGTTTGTAGAATTTCAGGTGTGGTATCGCAAAAAACGCGGCTCACAAAAAATGTGAGGCACTCAAAGCCTCATGAGGCGGTTGACAATGTGTTATTGATAAACACAGCACGAGTGTGATCACTCGTGCCTCTGCGTCCTTAAAAAAATTATATCAAGTGTATATTTGTGTACATACGTTTGATACATGTCAAAAGCAAGCAAACGCGCGCGCGATAACACAATCTGTATTAGAATTCGAAGAATACAAAAATCGGTAAAATCAAACTCATTGTATTAATAAAGTATTTGTTGGCGCGAAACTATCTTCTGTTTGAAAAACATAGCTTTCGTTTCTTGATAATATGCAAAATTCTAATTATTGTCAAAAATAATCAAATATAATAATACATAATCTATGTCAGAATTCGAAAGATACACAAAGATCAGTAAAATCGAACTCAACGTATTCGTAAAGTATATCTGGGCAGATATTCGCCCAGATAAAATCAGATTTCCTGAATAAAAAGCACGGCTGTTGCAGAATATTTTTCAACAATATGAAAAGATGTAATTGTTGTATTAAAAATACACAAGCATAAATTCCAAGCAAAACATTGCATCGCCCAAATATTTGGTTTACAAATACTTAGAATACGAGAGCGTTCATTCAATTCATTCGTCTCAAGTGTCTATCTCCTATCGAGACGCGATCCTCAATATAACTTGCAAATACCTGTGAAACAATTATCGTCTCAGAGATGTGCGCCACGATCGATCGTTACTCCACTCCGATTTTGCCCGTGATATCCGAGCATATATCCGATTTATGATTTATATTTTATGTATGCCGAATATCATACCAAAATATTCGTATCTCCGAATCTGCGCGCCATTTGCGCTAACGATAACTTTATTTTAAACATGGCCGTCGTACACCGCTATACCATTTCCAAACGCGGGAGATACGGTGTAATCGGGATTTAAAAATATTTTATGATTATAAAGTACGAACCGAACGCAATTAAAATATCAATTTCACAGTCGTATTTATCATATAAAAAAGCAATTACAAATATCACGAGTCAGTTGACCATATATCTCTCACTAAGAAATATAATAATATAATTTCGATAAAATATATAATCTAATTTAATCTGGTCATTATTCGCAAGCACTGATTCTGAATCGATCGAGATTTTTCCGTACGTAGACTGTAAAGGGCCGACAAAGTGCGTACCGATTTTTGTGTCTCGCGACAAACGACAATACCACCGGGCTAGCTAAGACGACTTTCTCGAGACGGGCGGATTCGCTCGCTCTCATAACTCGGAATGAAATAACCGTCGAGCTGGCGTACTTTGGTGCTGTACGCACGGAAGGCCGCTCGCTAAATGTAAACACAACGGCGGCGCGGCGCAAGGCGTCGCGCGCGCGATGTCCGTACGCCTGAACGCAACGTAAATACACCGAAAACATGCTCGCGTCCTTCCGCGGTCGGCCGGATCGGAGAGAGCGAGGGAGACAGAAAAGTCTACTCACCTGAAGATCATGACAGCCATTATCCCTGTGACTGGCAGCACGTATCACCCCCGCACGCCAACCCCACTCACTAATCTTATTCACCTTCGGCTTGGTGAAACCACTCACCGAGAGAAACCTCTTTCCCACGATCTCCTCGCGAAACTTGTACGCCATATTACGATCGGTAAACCGCGGCGTGCCGAATCCGCGACTTCGGATCGCCACAGCCGGGTCTGCCAGTCACCCTTTCCCTCGCTCGCGTCCCCCCCCGTCGCCCCCCGCGGGCGCCACCTGCCTTCCTCCCCCACCTCGTCCCCGCTTCTCTCTCTTCCGTCTTCTCTCTCTCGCTCACTCACCACTCCCGGCCCCCTGCCCCCCTGTCAACGACCCGGTTTTTCCTTCTAACCTCCGAGGAGCGTGCCTCGCCCCCCAGAAGAAAAGAAAAACAATAACGGATGCACGCACCGCCACGGCGCGAGGGGGGAGCGCAGCAACTGCGGTGGACCCTGTCACGAGCGATCACTATTCCTCGACGACACAAGGCACCACTCCGCGACTTGAACTTCTTCCGGCCGCGATCACGAAGGGCCATCGAACAACAGGGCCATGAGACGCGCGACGGCGACGGCAGCTTCTCGTATCCTCTCGTATCCTCTGCTTTCTTCTCCTCTCTTCTCCTCTTCTCTCTTCCTCTTGCTCGTCGTTTACGAAGCACACGCTCCACTGCCACTCCTTTCTCCCGCTTGTATCCGGACGCGCGCTAGAGGTTTCTCTTCGCGAGAGTGGCCACGAGACTCCTCGCGCGAATCCTAACGTGTTTCTCTTCTCCCTCTCTCTCTCTCTCTCTCTCTCTCTCTCTTTCTCTCTCTCGCTCTGTCCGGCCGTGAGCCTTTGCGCGCGCGATCACCCTTTCGTGGCTCACTTCACGATGTTTTCTCTCGCTTCTGCCGGCGCGCGCGCGTCTTCGCAACAAGAGAGACAGAGAGCGAGAGCCCGCGTCTCCACCTGTACGCGTCTTCTGTGTTCCTCGCTCTGACAAGACGTGTGTATTCTGACGATCGGTTCGAAAAACACGGCCGACGAGACGGATAAATAAATGAGATCGAGAGAGAGAGAGAGAGGCACGGCGATCCCTCCTCGTCCCACCACCGTCCCAGGGCACTGTGACAACGGTGACGTTCGCGCACAGATATCACCGACTGACCGGGCACACTTTCGACTTCCGGGCGCGCACCGGGTGTAGCACTGGACACCACACTACGCGGCGGCTGGCGGTAACGGCAGTGGCAGCACGACCAGCGCGGTAACCAAGTACTCCGAACGGTACTAGTGTAAACGTGAGAGTGACACACACATGACCGGCCAGTGATATCGCGTAGCGCGCACTGCGGGCGGACGGCAGGGAGGCACGGCTCCTTCCCGCGGCCCGTACACCCTCCCCCCGTTGCGCTCCTCTTTCCCTCCCGGCTCACCTCCCCAGCCGCGATCCAACATCTCCCCTCCGTGCGATTCGAGCGAGCGCGCGCTCTCTCCCTCCATGCTGCCAGTCCTTTCCAACACCGCAGCGCAGCGCCGTGCCGGCCGCGCGGCGCGGCGTCGCGCCTCGCTTCACTGCCACCCATCGCACGAGAGAGCGCCACCGGGGGTGGGGTGCTTAGGGCCGTAGCACCGACGACCGCGAGGCGCGTGAGGTCGCGCGCGCGGGTGGTTGTGGACGCTACAGCGCCGCGGGGACGAGGGAGTGGGCGCCTGGGGGAACTCTGGCTTCTCCCGCCGCGCGCGCGACACGCACACGTTACTCCGCGTCCACGCTCCGCGCCTATATTCACGCATCGACGTAACGCGATGCGCCCGACCCCTCATTTCTTTCCGTTTCTCTTTTCCGCCTTCTGCAAAAGAGAGAATGTCCTGTCGCGGACGACCGCGATGTCACGAGAGCGATCGGTACTCTCGCCTGGTTCTTGTAAGACAGCTAATTCTATGTCCCGGTATGCGCGCGATGGTTTCACATTTAATTACGTATACTTCTGGTTGGACGTTTCTTTCTCTTTTTCGCCGCGGAATTTATGTTTGTTTGCGCACTCGCGGCGAACCGGAAGACGTTTCGCCGATAGGACTTTCCTACTCTTTTTCTTTTCACTCTACTTTTTAGTTTCTCTTTCCTTTCCCTCCCGTGACTGTGGAAAATTTGTGTGTTTACGCGGCTGGCGGCCAGCCGGAAAACTTTTTATAGCCGTAATTTTTGGTGAGGGCAAATTGTTTGAGGAAATTTCAACGGAACACACGTAAATTATTCTGCATGATAGAACGAATCAACCACGATGTAACATATAATGTAATATATAACTTGTGAGAAAATTGAATATTTACTCTGTTAAAAATAACAGTTTTTACTATTTATTGAAGTTTTTATTATTTATGGTCATGCCGAATTTATCGCAGTGTATTCGGAATCCTAATTTTACAATTATTAGTTTATGGTTAAAGCACAAAATGTATGTGTGGGTGTGCGCGCGCGTGTGTGTGAAATATCGCAATTTATTGTCGAACGGTACAAAACAGAGCTTGCCGCAGCGTTTCCGAGATGTATTCGACTTCGGGAATTAAATTTCCCGAGGGGAGCTTGAAGTGAGGACGTACGAGGGTATGTCAAGCACACTTACCGAGCGAGAGTCGAGCTGACGGACATGAAATTAAATCGTTGCCGGCTCTATTAAAAGGCTCTTTTAAATCGCGCTACGCGCCTGGCGTCACGTGACGAAAACACCGCGTGACGTCACAAGCGCAGCAGCAGCCAGCTGCCAGTCCAACATGGCTGACCTGTGAGCAGCGGTGCTACAGACGGCCGTCCGCATTTAGTCGCTCGTTTCTACCGTTCGCGCGCGTCCCGTGGAGCCGCAGGACCCGCTAATATGATATCGTCGATCGTCTCGCGCCTCGTCATGTGAGTATTCGACCGGCGGATCGCCGTCAACGGCGGAAACAGCGCAGGGGTTGAAACTGCACCCGGGCCATCGCCATCGTCCGTCGTCCGAGCGAGAAAATCTGTCCGTCGGTGCAGGGTTTATTTTTACCTCCGCGATGGGTGTCTTCACTTCTCCACGTGTGTGTCGTCTCGTCGATGCGTTCCACCGATTCGCGCGTAATACAGTGATTCCGTCGCCTACCTTCCGAGCGTTCGCCTCTCGGATCGACTTGTCGCTATAGATACGTGTGTATACGTATATGTATACCCGTCTCTCTTTCTCTCCCTGTCTCTCTCGCACGGCAGCTCGCCGTCATGACAAAGAAAACAAAGTACGAACGTTGGAAACTTCGGGATATCATATCGGGATATCAACAGCGGACGCGACAAGGTGAGACCAGCGTGTTTTGGAGCAGCTAACGGCGAGAGGCTCCCCGAGAGGATTGTGTCATCGCGAGACGGAGGTATCGGCGAGAGGCATTTCCATGTTTGGTAGGACCCTTGTCGCAAGGCGCTCCTCACGGCGAGGAAGGAATCGACGGAGTGTCGCAAGAGGCCGAAGGATTTAAATCCGCGCTGGTGGTGTGCGCCAATACAAGGAGGGGACACCGTCGGTGGAATCGGAGTCGTGCGAAGGTAAGGATCAATGTCATCCACGCGAATCGATGCGCAGTCGAGAGAGTCGGTTAAACTCGGCGAAGAAGCGGCATTGTCGCGCCGGACAAAACGTGAGTCGTGAGGAAATCAACGGGAGGGGAAAGAAGAACGCCTAATTCCCCTAATTAACGCGTATTGTTGAGTCAGCGCGAGAGTGAAAGCGAACGCTCGTCTCGCAACGGTCTATTATGGTAAGAAGCCCAACCTAACCCTAACCTAACGTAACTTTCGCGTCTGTAACGTCAGATAAAGACGGACGTTACGACATTCGGAGCGCGATTACCGGGTGTATTACATGTACACACGCTTGTGGAAATTGAAACGGATTACGCTCGCTGCCTTGTCAGTTGTTATGTTATCCTATTAAGGAGAAGTGTTAAGCGCATTTCTCTCTCTCTCTTCTCTCTTTCTGTCGACTAAAGTTCTTCTCTCCGTGAGACTGTTCTACCTCGTGTTTATGACACACGCAAATTATCAACATGTAAGACGTTTTTTTCCCAGCCTGAATGTCGGAGCCGCGGAGACGTGCGAGTCCTACCTTGCGGTCGGCGATAAGAGAGAATCGGGAGTGTTTCACGTTTCTCGAGAAACCAACTGCGTCGACAGCAATCGGGCGCGCGATAAGCACACGACGCGTTCGCCGTCAGCTGATCCGCAAGCTACGTCACACGCAGAACGGCAGCGGGTCGTTGCACTCTTCGCGCCGTTCGCTCCCTCGCTAAGAGGCACGCTTTGTTTACGGCGTTGTCCGGCGGCGCACGCACGGACAACGGTACGCGCGTGCGACAATGTGCGTGAACGTCCGCGATCTCTCGTCGGGCTGTGCGACACTGACTCACGGCCGTACGCGCGCTGCACTTGACAATAAATCGGAACGAAACGGAGAAACGCGCGCCGATCCGGCGCGAGATAAACGACACGGCGATCGAACGGAGCGCCTGTTCGAAGACAGACGTTCGTCGCGAAGATCTCTACGCGCGCAAGACGTAAAGAGGACTCTTGAGTGAACGCACCACGTGCGTTCTTTCTTTTTTCGTAAAAAGCGCATCCGGTTTGCCAAATGCGCGCCGGCTATTTCACGACGTCGTAATCTACGGTATATACATTTCCTTTAGTGCATATTCCACTACGTGCCATCTTTTTGCCTGCACGCGGTGCTTCGCGACAACTTTATGGAAAATGCAGAGGCACACTTTTCCCTAAGGATGGTATATAAAGGATGTACAAAAGTACACGAGTACATACGTACACGCTCGAATAATGGCTCTGTCAAATTATTTCGAGTCAATTTTCATTAATTATTGAAACTTATTTAACTTTTAGCATTATAACCCGAGTCGAAATTTCAGCCCTACTTTTGGCCTGAACAATAAAAGAAAAAAATGATTGATTTTTATAACATTATAGTTGTTTTTGATTCCAGCCATATTTCCTAGTTGTTTTAATACGAAAATAGTAGTGGTAACATGCATATAAAGTTATTGTTATTACAGTAGAATTTAATTAAAAAATTATTTTCTTGACCATAATTTACAGTAATTATTTCTTTATATAATTGTAGTTGTAAATATCAAATACTTTCTTCTCGGAGAACTTTCTAACATCTACATATTCCGAAAGAGCAATGTGTATATAATACACATGAAAAC